TTGGCACGCCCAAATGCAATCACTCCTTTTTGCCAATCATTAACATTTGCTTTACAACCCATTTTCACACATCAGATGAGACATTTACTGCACTGTACCACTTCTTCTCAATCTATGAATCCTGTTGCATACCCCGCAGGTATTTATGGCCTGATAATCCATGTGCAACATGAACTGCAGCCTGAAGTTACCACCAACTTAGACATGCAATTTGTATTTTCTGTGTGTTTGTCTGGTCTGTTTAGTATGTTACGTCATAAATATTTGAACTCACCAAGACAAATTCTTTTTATGTATAACATACTTGGTGAAATAAAGTAATTCTGATTCTCAAGGAATTGCCTGTGTCTGCACCAGGTTATCTTGGTACATTTAAAGTACATTTACAGAAGGAACAGAAGGTTTAACTATTATAGTAACTTAGATTAAGTCAAGTCAGGTTTATTTCTATAGCACTTTTTATTGTAGGCACTGTCACAAAGCAGCTTTACAATAAGTCCAGGTCCAAGCCTCAGTGAACAAGCCAAGTGCAACAGTGGCAAGAAAAAAACTCTCTAAGAGCAACAGGAAGAAACCTTGAGAGGAACCAAAACTCAAAATTGGAACCCAACCTCCACCACACGAAATTGGCAGTTTTCACCTTGGCAAAGGAACACACAGGCACTAAAGATCTAACTTGGCAATAGCTATTTCTGTTACTCCTACAAAGTTTTCCAGCCAGTCCAGTACAATAGCATGGTCTATCGTACCAAATGCAGCCTTAAGATCAAGCAGAACTGGCAAAGACACATTTCTTTAGACAAAAAATTATAAAAGAGGTTGTTTGATAGTTTTCACTTATGCTGTAAAAATGAAGATGCATATCATATAAAGTAGAATGAAGAGTATCCTTTAAGCATTTGCTCATAATATCTAATCAAGTAGGTTTAGATGTAGCTGATAGAAGGTGACAGATCTGGGAGGATTTTGATAAAGGTACTAGCTGTGGAAAATGTTATAATACCCTAGACATGATATCATTGGGATGAACATAAATTATGACGAAAACGGATTTCATATGAGACTAAGTAATTATCTAAGACTGCTGCTCTCTGGGGGTAATGGCTAAATGATCTATGTTTACACTAAAGGTCAAAATTTTGTCGAGTGTGGTTACAATGATGAGTGGGCTCCATTATGTTTTGAGTGAAATCAACAGAGACTAAGATTCCTTACTTAATGGAAACTGTGGATTGTCAATGTGAATATTAAAATCTCTGACAAGAATTACTTTACTTAAGATTTTTATTACATATTTTTGTTACAAATTACTATAAGGATTCATAATATGATGTTGATGTCCTGTTTGTTGTCATTAGTGAAAATTAATTCTTATTTGTAGGTTGATCACTTATATTGAAAAAAACAAGGAAATGTACATATTTGTAGGTTGATCACTTATATTGAAAAAAACAAGGAATTGTAAAAGAAGAGAATTTGTAAGCTTGTCTGATTAAGGCCTAAAGTGTATTTAAGTGTTCTCTTTCTTTTTGCTCACTTCTTCTTGACTTATTTTTATTCTATTTTCTTTATCTATATTCTTCTTGCACTAAGAGGACTTTTGAAACATTTAGTTGTCATTGTACCCACACTGCTGGTAGCAGCCCTCTGGGATATGAATAAACATGAAGGTCTTTTTTCATGTGCCTCACTGAAATTTTGATCACTTTAGCTTATCATCACTGTCCAAAAGAAACTTATCTCCATTAAAAAAAAAAGAGAATCATTTTATTACATCATTTGAAACTGCCATTTACACAGACACAGACTCACACAGACACACATACACACACACACACACACACACACACACACACACACACACACACACATATATACACATATTATCTAAGCTACTTATTCTTCTGGGTCACAGGGCTGCTGGAGCCTATCCCAGTGGTCATTGGGCAGAAGGTAGCAAACACCCTGGACAGGTCACTAACATAGATGCTCCAAAATTTCTTGGAATAAAATCTCTTTACATTAACTTACATTAGAGGTAAAACAATGTTTACACCCTCTCCTCAAAACTTGCCATTTTGGAGATTCTTACTTTCCTTTGGACACTGAAAATATTCTTGTTTTGTGTATTGTTTCATAGTATAGTTTTGTTTTCATTCAGTTTTTTTGTTTGTTTTTTTTTGTTTTTTCGTGTCATTAATGTCTGCATTAAAATGATAAGTGATGTTCACAATTTGCAGTTTGGTAAAACTTTATAATATTATCTCATATTTCATGAAGTGACTAAGCAGGGACAAATAAATAGTGCTGCATTAACACTTTAATAACTACTATTAACTACCAAGGAGTACTGGTTATTTACTCAGTAGGTAGAATTCCTTACGAACATCAGCTATAAGAACTACTAATTATGCTAATTACTGATCACATTAACATTAACTGCATTTATTTGTAAGCATTTTACTTCACTCATTTAAAAAAAAACAACTGTTACAGAATAAAAATGTTGTCAACAAATTAGATCACTTAAATTACTGTTAAAATTCCAAATATTCAGTTCTGAGAGCCAATCAAAGCACTGCTGCAAAATCACATGGCTACAGACATGAACATGAGAGAGGTGCAGAGAGAGGAGAACAGCGCCTACAAGCACCATATTCCTAATTTTGTCAAGTTGTTTTTTAGTCAGAAAATGCATTATAGAAAATGACTTTACCACCAGCAGCCCCAAAGTTTTATTACACACTTATATAACTTAAAAATAGCTCAGCCAGTTTGCACTGAAAGAAGTTACTGAATAATAAGCCTTAAAATTAAATAAGCCTGGGATTTTAAGGGGGGGGGTTATTTTGTTTTGAACATGTTATTTCAGTGACACAGACAAGAAAAAAATGTTTAAATTTGGAATAAAGACACATAAAAGAACCCAATAAACAACCTATTAACACTATTTTTGTAATTTTCTTGAAAAGGAAGGATGCAGTAACACATTGTTCATTAGTAATGAGCTATTGTTCCACTTCATTATTATCTCCTAAAGAATGATGGAGTGACAACTTGTTCTTTAGTTATGATTTCCCATATATTTGATTTCACAATACTTTTTCAGTAACACATCATTCATAATATAATATATAAGAACAATCAATCCACACTCATTACAGAGGAAGAACACACACATGGAGAAAAGAATGTTGTTTTGTATTCTAAAAAATGAAAGATAAGCTCATCATTGAACTGGATGCTGATGTATTTTAGCATTGGCACATTACTAGGCTGATGTGCAAACTGATCCATATTAAAAAAATATGAAGCTGAACTCAAACTTTTTAAGGTTACTGATTAAAACAAACACATGAGGGACACTAGTCAGTTTTGTGTGGTGTGATGGCCCCTGTCTTCTCTGAGGATAAAAAAGTATCCCAATACTATTTATGAATGCACTACATACCCTAGTAGTTCATAAGGAGCAATGTAAAATTCAGCTATTGAGCATTTAATGTTAATGTGATCAATAATTAGTGAGTAGTTATAATAGAAAATCATAGTAAGTAGTTCTCCAGGGGATTTGTGACATTCAGTTATTTTTAATATAGAAGTACCCTAAGCATTAGTTCACTACTGAGTAATTAACCAGTACTCCTTCATAGTTAATAGTAGTGACTTGAGTTTTAATGCAGGACAATTCATTCACCCTTGTTTAGTCCCTGCATAGTTATGTATTTACTCTGAAATAGTAGAATAAAGAGTTACTTGTAGTTTTCTTGCACAATTTTTTGTTACTTTTATTTGTCAATGAGAATCTATCACCAAAATTTACTTAAAGATTAATTCAAGATTCAAAGTAAAGATTATTTAACAGTATTTTTAACGTCAGTGAATCTGATTATAAAGCATAATGATTACTCAAAAACATATATCTCAAATGATTAAATTCCACAATCACATTTTTTGAACACATTCAGTAGATTCTAATTAATGTGGTTGATTACAAAAACTACTGCCACAACATTTTTGGCCACCCGCAGCTTGGTACAGAACAAAACATTGCTCCATAGTCAGGCAGTCCTGGTACATAATCACTGTGAAAAACAAACAAAATAATGTCATGTTATTTGAGCCACAAAAGGCAAATGAAAATGAACACAATAACCATACATGTCCACTCAGGGACACTTCCAACCTTCAAATATTTGTTTAAGCCCTAATATATCAGCAAGCCTGAATAGTCAAAACTCCTAGAGACCTTTATTGGTTGGATCAGTTGTGTTAGATAAAGGTTTAAACTAAGCTCAGCAAAATTATAGTATTGCTAAATGTAAAATGTTCACAATATCAAAAATGAAGGGTAACATGGGAGAAAAATCTTGTATGGTAAGACGTTTAATTCTTTAAGATGGTAAGTGTTTAACTAATAATAATGAGCAAAAATTATTTGTCATTTTACAAGTTTAATTTAAGTTCAATAAGTAGATTTTTCATTAATGTACAACACAGAAAAAAAAAGTTTTTAAGTATACAAGAATAAGAAATGACTGCAGATATACACTTGTATGCAGATGCTTGAAGTCCCCTGGCATGATATTTTGTTGATTTTCTAAGAGAAAACACTTCTTTGAAATTTGAATAGGGTGTTCAAACTTTTGCATATGACTGTAAATCATACTCAAGTCAGATGACAAATTAATGTAAGATTTCCCATAAAGCCAATAGCAGGACAACATTTTAATTTTGTGCTGTTCCAGTTTCATCTATGTATAATCATGCTGTACATGCTAAACTCATGCACAGATAGTTTAGCATGACAATACAAGGACCTTATTTTAAAGGGGGGCTTCTTCCCCCATTTTGCCTCAGTTATATTTTGAGCTTTAATCATTTTTAACATTTTTTAACATCAATTTTAACAGCCATTAATATTTAATAAGAGAAGGTACATCAGAGAGAGAGAGAGAGAGAGAGAGAGAGAGAGAATTATTTGTCTTACATTTTCCTAAATTGTAGAACAGTCCACAAGCAGAGTTTGGCACTGAACAAGTAATCTTTTGAGGGCTTGTGCAATTATATTGAGAGTTAAAAGATGCGCATTGGTAACACTGCAGGCTCTGACCTGTATCAGAAAAAAAGGATCTTAAAAAATCTTAAAAAAAAAAATTTAGTTTGTGTACAAATTTTTTTTTTCCATAAAATGAATTAGATATATTAAAACATGATATGTATATATATATATATATATATATATATATATATATATATATATATATATATATATATACGAATACACACACATACTTACCTTGACTGAGAGCCAAAAGGAATATAATAGCACTGACCAAGATCTTCATGTCCTTATAGAGAATTTAAAACATCAAACATTAGGCAAAGTTTAAGATTCAAAGGATTTTCAACTGAGAATCTAAAATGCATACAAATACATTTAAATAAACGAAACATTAACAATGGCACAAAAAATCATCATTAAAATCTAAAGTCCTCCATCTTCAAACATTGTAATTTAAAACCATTTGAAATGACTAAAAAGTGCATTTGGCACAAATTATCCTTACAACACTGAGACATCAAAATAACACTCTCACCATTCTTGTATCTGCCAGATGAAGACTGCATTAACAAAAGGATATGTTGCTGAATAATGTTGCTGTCCAGAAACTGGGTTTAAATATTACTCAGATGGGATGCGAAAGTTGCTTCGCAGATGTGGTCACCATGGGGAACTGAACGTGCCAAATAGGAGTCTGGTCATATGACATGCTGGTGGTGGATCAATCTGTGGGAAAGCCTGTGATGGTGTAAGAGACATGTAAGCTCATGGGCGTAAAAAAAATCCAAAGGCAGGCAAAACAGGATTAAAAAAAAGACTTTGCAAAGACCACCTAAAATGTGTAAACAGGTGTGCGTCAATCAGACTCAGTACTGGGGTGAAAGCAATCTTGACAGGTGTCGAGGGGATTTATCAGCTGTTAATATGAAAGAATGTCTACATATAGAAGTAGAAAAAAACTGGTTACATTTTCACTTTATCCTATTGTTTAACAACAAAACTCTACTGGGGATTTTTAAAAATCTCCTAAAAATTGCACTGGAGCATTTTTTAATCCATTATACCACAGGAAGTCTATAGCAAGACAGTGGGGAAAGAAGATATAATTTTACATTTAGAAGATGATCTAGTAAAATTATTCATTTAGCCTTGTGTCTCTTAAATGCTTCTAATAAAGACACTAGCTTGTATCCATTATCATTATCATTATCATTACTACTAAGTTTCTGGTGAAGGATTCTGGATTCTGTGGTTTTGATCATTTTAAAATGTTCAGAATTATTTATGATTAACAGTTGACACTGATTGATGACTGACTTATTCAGTCTAACAATTCATGTAGAGATCTATTTTTTCTTCAGCTAGACAATGAAAGCTGTTAATGCCAGAAAGTTAGTAAGGCTCAGGTTAGCTTAAGCTAATGCAAGCTAACACTGATTAACCCCATCAAACATAGTATGTAGCTATTAGTCACTTTTGTGATGACAACAGTGTTGCATGGTGTAGTTTTTAGTTACAAAAGACGAATGGCAATAACTCAATCAGGTATAATTTGATATGTATCAATACTGCAGATCAAAAAGACTTTTTCTGATATCTTGATTTTGAAGCCATATCCATTATTGACTGCTTGTCCACAAAAGTATTGGTATATAAAATCAACGACCTAGCCATGCAGTTAAAAAATGGGTCATTCTAAAGAGCTCAGTGAATTAGAGTGTAGTACTGTAATAGGATGCCACTGTTGCAACTAGTCAGTTCATGAAATTTCTTCCCTCCTAGATACTCCACAATCAACTGTGAGTGGTATTATTGAGAAATGGAAGTGTTTAGGAATCACAGCGGCTCAGCGATGAAGTGTCAGACCTGAATAGTTACAGAGCAGGTTGCTAAATGCTGAGGCATATAGTGCATAAAAGTTGCCAACCCTCTGCTGATTCAATAACTGCAGAGTTCCAAACCTCTTCTGGCATCAATATCCGTACAAAAACTATCATGGGTTTCCAGGTCTGAGCAGCTGCATGAAAGCCTTACATCACCAAGCACAATGCCAAGCATCAGATAAAGTGGTGTAAAGCGCACCACTACTGAACCCTGGAACAGTGGAAACTTTTTTATTCTGTGGAGTGACAAATCACGCTTCTCTCCATGGCAGTCTAATGGATGAGTCTGGGTTTGGTGAATGCCAGGAGAACATTAACTGCCTAACTGCACTGTGCCAGCTGTAAAGTTTGGTGGATGATTACACTCCAATAGGGAGTGTAATTGGATTCAGGTGTTTGCATGACTATTATTCTTATATTTAATGGATTATTTACAGGATTACCTACCTTGTTCAATCAGATAGAAATTGTATCCTGAATGACCTCAATCAGACTAGTCTTTTCAAAATCAGGTGTATATATCTATTCTAATTGAGCTACTAACTGGATTGTTGCCAGATTATCAAGCAGCATGTAAACGTGGCAAATGACAAAAAAACTAAAAAATGACTAAAAAAGCTAATGACTTCAGAATCCAGACATTAATTTTGCTTTTAGCCTTCAAATTATGACAAAGGATTAAAATATGCTGTTAATACACTGTCTCCAGGCTGATATGAACATCAGACATTATACCAGTCCACGGTGCAACAGGAGGTTGGCAGCATTATACACATTGAAAAGGGTGATGTACAGTCGCCCAAAACTCACTGATTAGCCCAACTAATCAGTGAGTTTTGGGTGATTTCAGCCCACATAAGAATTGTGACCAGTTTGTAAGGTTGTTGCAACAAAACAATCTCAAAAACTTTACAAGTTCCTGGTTAACACATTTGCACTCTCCATTCGACTGAGGGTGATACCCTGACATCAAGCTAACGGATACCCCTATGTGTTTGAAAAAGCCTACCAGATTTGTGAGGTGAACCATGGACCCAGAATGGTTCACCTCACAAATTCAGGAACTCTGAAATGTCTTGATACCTGATACCTGTTTGAAATGCTGTGGGGAGAGAAGTGAATGGGATAAACTGGACGCTACTTGAAAATCTGTCCACTGCTGTGAGAATAGTAGCAAACCCTTAGCTATGTGTGACCAAGGTCTGACAGGTATGGGTAAAGGAACTAGCTTCCCAGCTGGTAGTGTCTTTACATTGAGAGCAAGTAGAACAAGAAGCTACAAAATTATGGATATCTGTATTCATGGATTCCCACCAGTATCAATTAGTGTGTAATTGCTGAGTACGAATCTCACCTGAATGACCTGTTATGAGGAATGAATGGGCTCAAGTAATTAGCCTGTCGCAGAACTGATCTGGTACATAAATCTTTCCAGTAGGACATTGACTTGGGATAGTGATATTTTCTAGAACCTTCTCGATCTCATCATCTAATCCCAACAGATAGATGAAATAGTAACATTCAAGGGAAGAATTTTCTCTGAGTTCTACAAATGGTTCTGTGGGATCAGGGTGCTTAAGATCGGGAGCTTTACTAAATGCCTCTTTAGGGGAGTTAAAAGCATTCTCTACCTGAGCTGACCAATTCAGTTTTCTTGAACTGCCTTTCAATAATGCAGTAAGGGGTGTAGCTATACAACTGAAATTCCTAATGAAACACCCATAAAAATTTGGGTATTTTGGCTTTGTATTTGACAGCACAGTTCCTGTCTCTTTCATGTTCTTCACCCAAACATATTTCCCAGCATTCAAACATGTCAGATCACGAGCTCTATGTCTCCTGTTAAAGTTTCTCCACTGCTGCTGCCTGTTGGAGTGCTCTTTCTGTTTGAGTTTGTGAAGATCTGTCCAGCCTGGATTCAGCTGCGAAGAACTGACTGGAATAGGAGTACGGATCTTCCTTCTCATGAGCAATTCTGCAGGGCTGTGGCCATTTGGAGTTGAGCGATATGTCATCAATGAAAGATATGGGTCTTTTGCTTTTTCAAGGAGGCTCTTTACAGTTCTCACTGCACCTTCTGCCTCACCATTGCTTTGTGGAAATAGTAGGCTGGAAGATTCATGTTGGAAGTCCCATTCCGAAGCAAACTTCCTAAAGCTCTCAGATGAGAACTGTCTGTGCGGACAACAGCAGCAATTCCGTTCCGTGCAAAGATTGATTTGAATTGTTCAATTACTGCTTCTGAGGAAGTTGAGGTGAGCTTTGCCACTTCAAATAATCCTACCACGAGTAAGTACTGCTGATCTTTAAACTGAAAGAGGTCTGCTCCAACTTTGTACCAGGGCAGATCTGGAAATTAAGCAGGGAGGAGTGTCTCTTTCAAGTTTACTCTTTCTCTTGCACACACAGCACAATACTTGATTTCATTGTTCAACTGTATACTTAAGCCTGGCCACCATAGTGACTGTTTAGCCCTTTCTCTGCATTTTGTAATACCAAGGTGACCCTCGTTTAGCTTTCGCAGGATATCAGCTCTGAGTGGTGGCGGTATTACTTATCTTTGCCCTTTTAGAAGCAATCTATTTTCCACTGTGAGCTCACCCGCAAAAAAGGGCAAATACAGTTGAAAGGTTTGTTAGATGAAAAACTTGTCTGGTCATCCTTCAATGCAGAAGTTCTTTAACTGCTGTAGAATTTCATCTTGATCCTGGTATTTCCGAATTTCATCCAGTCTCTTTTCTGTAGCAGGTATATTAGCCATCACAGCGTCTACATAGAGATTGGTTTCTTCTTCAAGTTTCTGATCCCCTGTGCCTTCCACCGGAGCTCTAGAGAACACATCTGCGGAAGCTATACTCTTACCAGTGACATGTGAGATTGTATATGAGTATTGCATTAGTCGCATTTGCAGACGCTGTATTAGAGGAGGTAACTCATCCAGGTTTTTTGAGCCTAGGAGTGAGACCAATGGTTTATGGTCTGTTTCTATGTGAAATATGATGCAAACAAGGAATTCTGAAAATTGTTCACATGCCCAGGTGTTGGCAAGGGCTTCCTTTTCAATCTGGACATATTTTTGTTCTGTGCTGCTCAGTGCTCTCGAGGGGTATGCTATCGGTTTCACCTGCTGATTTTCCTGCTTCTGGAGAAGTACTGTACCCAGCCCATTTGAGGATGCATCACCCGAAACCACCATTTCTGCTTTTGGGTTATACAGCTGCCTCTTGATTTCTTCAAAATGTTTTCTGCTGGGAACATTCCCATGTCCACATGTTTCCTTTCCTCTGAGGGGTCTCTGAGGGGTCTAGTTTGCTTTGGTAAATGAGGCAGGAATTTCCTTAGGTGGTTCACCATACCTAGGAAATGCCTAACTTCACCAGCATTTCCTGGTTCTGGCGCACACAGCTTGCACTTTGGCTGGGTCAATGCTCACTCCGACCTTTCCACTGGCCCAAAAACTTTATTCTGGTTTTTGAGAACTCACACTGTTCAGTGTCACTCCTGCATCTTGCTGCTGTGAGTCGCTGGTCATGCTCTGCTTGTGTTCTCCTGAAGACAAGTCCATCTGGCGCACAACACCTTCAAGCCCCTCCAGAATCTCTGTCAATCTATTTTTGAAAATGTTTAGGTGCTGACAATATGCCGAAGCACATTTGATTGAAACAATCGGTGTTATAAATATGGTTAGGAGGGCAG